GTGTCAGTCTTGCACAAAGGGAAGCGCTTCCACTGACGTATCTGTTTGCGGCCCCTGGGTCCAATGGACGGTAGGCTCACCAAAGTAGAGGCAGCTTTGTCTTCGACCTCAAACGCACAAACCAGAATGGTCTTTTCCTTGGTCTCATGTGTAGAGGCTAACAATCGCAGTTCCTCAACTTCTTTGATGTTGCGCACAACCACATAAGCAGCACCAATTTTTCCATCCTTGGACACACGGGTCTTGGCAACAGAAAAGCTGACAACTCCACCAACACAAGGATCCACAATCCAAATGCAATCGGAATATCCAGAGTCCTTGGCTTCGCCCTTTGTCTTGCCCTTTTTGGCAACAATCTTCCAGGGGTTGTCAGGTGAGTCCAGACCCCATTGGGCTTGAGCAGGTTGCCGCAAAGGTTGGCAGAAAGAGACGCCCGTTCCCTTACCTTTGCCATTGCCATTGCCATCTTCAGCATGGCTGGTCTCCTGCAGTGCATCCCGCTCCCTCTTCCTCTGTTTGCGCTTGCGCGCCCCACGGCCTCCATCCAAAGGCTTGTGATCCACCGCCTTCTGAACAATGTTCTGAAGACGCCCCAACAATCCAGAAGGGTTCTTCTCCGCTCGCTGTGCCAGACGCTGGATGGCCCCCAAAAGGGCCTGGTCTGGGTTGTCCTCCTGCTGCGCGCTGGCCTGGGACTTGGCATTGCCCTTCTTAGCTTTGCCCTTGCCATCGGCGTCACCCAAAGTTGCAGGAGAAGCTTGGCTGCCTTTAGCCTTGCCCTTTTTGCCCCCTTGAGCCGGTGCCTCGCCATCTTCTTTCATGACAGAAGCAATGAAAGCTTGAAGGCCTTCAAGGATCTTGGAATCGGAAGGCCTCCCACCGCCCCTGCAGAAAGTATGCCATGGAATCCATTTATCTCCAGACCAAATCATGTCGGAGGGCTGGGGGTCTCCAGTGCAAGTGAAGCTATCCCCCTCGCCCCGATTCTGAAAGCTGAGGCCATCGCCTGTATTGACGTGAGATGCAGCCACCTCACCCACAGAGTCTAAGCTGCATGCAAGTCCATCTCTACCGGCCCGACCAACGGCATGTGGTGTGTCATCGCCCTCACTTGCAGAAGCAAAATCTGAACAAGATGCTGGCACAAGCTCTGTAAAAGCGCCTTGGGACGAAAGAGGCCCACCCACAGGGCGATCGCCATCCGGCACCAGCTTGTACAGCATCAGCAAGCCCCTGCGTTGAAAAGCAAAGCCCATCCACTTGTGGCTTCTGCGCCTTCTCCTCCGAACGCCTCCTATGATCAGAGCTGACCAAGCCAAGGCCACCCTCTTGAAGCGTATGCGCGGAGTCCTTCTCCTAGCTCGGTGCCTGGCATGCCTGAGTTTGGATGCAAAAAGCTTCAGCCTCAGAGCAGCCCGGGAACGGGTGGCACCTCGAATTTGCTCTCCCTTGAAAGTGGTTGCAGCCCTAGTCCACAAGACTGCAAAGTACAAGCCTCCACTCATCAAGCTCAAAAAGGTGAGCCCACCTATCATGCAGCGCAACACCACCCCAGTGTCGACTGCACCTGCCGTGGTGCTTTGTGCGGCCATACTGGCCGCCCAGCTTCGCCGAATGTCCATGACATAGGAGGCGCACCCAAGAAGCTCGAGGAAGGCAAGGAAGAAGGAGATTGTGGATGCCCAGAAAGCCCGCATGTGAGGATTCTGCTGCACAGTGCCGCCCAAGCGCAACAAAGGCAACTCTGTGGCCTTGTTGTTCTCATCGACCTGGCAAATTCTAGGTTTAGGGTTTAGGGTTTAGGGAAAATTCTGAAAATCAGGGATCCCTGTTCGGCAGAGACCCGGAAAAACGACGTGGATCTGGGAGACATATGGGGACAGGCATGTGAGCTCTTGCTTTGGGATGAGCCCTTGGAATAATGACGCTACAATAGACTGTCTGCGAGAAATGCCCCACCTTGCACTTGTACTCCATGGTCAGAGCCGTGGCAATAACTGGGAGGTGCACTGAACTTGTGTGTTGAGCCCTGCGTCTGCGGTGCACACAATCTCTGAGAGAATCCGAGTGTACGGCAATGAAAACTTCTCACAATCGACTTTAGCGACCTGCTTGCCAAGGGTATGGAACAATGTGTTTGCTCTGCTATGCACTGCCATGTCTCTTGCGTCGCAAGCCGCTAACAGGAGCTATCCATGTACATACTCCTGCATAGGGCACTCTCCTCCAACCCGTCAACCATAAACCCTCGCACCTAGAGCCTAAACCCTAAATCGTACTGGGGGTTAGTGGGGAATAGAGGCACATATTATGTAGGGGGTATATAGGGGTTCTATTCCCATATTGACATTCCATACTAACCCCACCAAGAAGTCCTAAACCCCAAACCAACCTCAGATCCTACACCCGCAAACTTGAAGCGCCCCATTGTTGCCATAATAGTCAGAATAAACAAGAAGAAGAAAATAGTAATAATACATAATAACAATAAGAAGAAGAATGATAACAGTAAGAATAGTAATTAATAATAGTAAGAATAAGAGTAAGAACAACATTAACAATAGTAGTGGGCCTGGGTAAGCTTTTCGCGGAGGCGGTGGTCTTCAGCTGTGAGGCGTTCTATCCTTGGCAACGCCTGGCGGCTGCTCTAAAGGTCCTCTGAAAGGTAGGGTTTAGAGTTTAGGGTTTAGGATGATATGGGGTTTTCATAGGGATATATGTAGGGTTAAGGTGAACTATACGGTATGGAGTTTTAATAGGGATATATAGGGTTTGGGAGTTAGGGTTGAAACGAGAAGCACTTCCTGAAAGGGAGATCTTAACTAAAAAGGCAAACTACCTCATGGGCATTGTGGGGACTGGCATTCTGAACAACTACCGCGCACTCGGGAGCTTAAACCAGGGGGTCGTTCAAGATATGAAGGCTTAAGGTCTACGGTTTACTGCCTATAGGATTATAAACTCTCCATATCTCTCCATACTAATACTTAACACACCCCCTGACATCTAAGATTCCCCATCACAAACCTCATATGTTGAGCGACATATTTGTTTTGTATGAATATGAAGGGGTTGTAGTGGTCTAGGAGCTCGTAAGGGCTTGGATGTTTCTCGGAATACCCTTGAGGAACGTGTGGAATATGAGGAAATTATGGGGGTCCCCGTGTCGGGATAACATAGGCGCCATCTTGAGAAACTCATATCATGTACCCCTTTTAAATACAATCGTTTGGAATACATACTGACACCACTGATTACTCTTAATCAACATGGAACCCCAAAGCGGCACTACATTAGAAGGGGGCTATATATGGGTCTCCATCGTACCCCTTTGAAATACAATCGTCTGGAAACCTTACTCAAGGAACCTATAGAGAGGGACCACATGCTTGTGCTGTGTTGCCGCTGCTCCGACAACGAAACTACTACTGTTCCTACCATTCAATGCTGCTCAGTGTACTCCTCTCTGTACCTAACTATGATCCCTAAACCCTAAACCCTAAACCACTGATCCGTGTAGCACTGCCAATAGCGCTACAATTAATACTTTTGCTCGGGCAAGCTCATCAAGCCTTGAGTTCAAGAGCTGTAGTCTAAACGCCTAGTATCCCCCTTAGTAAGCCCTGTAACTGTCCCCTAAAAAATCACCTGAATAACCCCCAAAGAGTTAGACCATAGCTCAAATGAGTAGTGTTTTTTGTGGTTGAACCTAGTAAGATAATCCTTAATATAAAATACTATACCCCAAAAGGAGGATATAATCTTACTCTAATATTGGGTACCATAGTATCCCCAAATAAAATACTACTCAAATGTTTTTGGCCTTTGAGAGCGCATGAGCCTGGGTATGTTCACAAGTCGTCTGTGGAGACCGAGGAAAATTCCTTGGCGACCCAACCCTAGAAATCGATTCAGTAGACTCTGCTGACAAAGATTTGGCTACAGGTCAAAGAGGTAAAGTTATCCAAATTGCGGTCTCTTTGTGGGGTACCCCAGATATCAAATATTAAGGGTTTTAGTCTACAGGCTACAGGGGACCCAGAAAGACTTCAGAATTTTGACAACCCACCGATAGGAAACAGACATGCATGAGTCCTCTAGAACTGGGGTCTTTGGGACGGAGGATCACTTCGCAAGTCCTGACCTAACCGAACTTTACACGACGCTTTAGGGCTTAGGGTTTAGGGTTTAGGGTTGTGAGAAAGCTCTACTACTCCTCCCTGAGAAATACTGGACCCTGAACATTGGTCCTCACGCACCAAGTCAAAGGACTGCGCTCAGATGCAAAACTCAATCTGAATAATCCTTTCTCCCTAACAAGGCTGAAATACAGATGTTCCCCCGTTTCTTATAAAGGTACTGCATCGGAACGTTTATTCTTCAGTGGATGGAGAGTTTGCTACAAGCAGTAGCTACTATCAGAGCTCCTGCACATAGTGAGCAGGCCCGAACTCGAATCCCATCCCATGAGATGATATGCGGAACCATAGACGCCATATGGTACCCTCTACGAACATGGAACCCCAAAAGGAGTACGGCAACGACCTCGGCAATTTGGAAGGGGGCTATATATGGGGTTCCATGGTAATTTGGCGGAGGGAAAAAAGGTCATAACAAACAAGCAGGACGCGCCCAGCCTCCTCTGCCACCCTAAACCGAAACCCCAAACCCTAAACCGCCCCACTTCTTTCGTCAACCATATTGTCGGTAGTACAGGTTGCACACAGCCAGCATCATCGAAAAAGGACTACTCCCCTATAAAATCTTCATGTAACCCCCCCCTTATAAGGAGTTTAGACTTTAGCTCACAGGTTCTGCTTATCAGCTAAATAGCATGCTCGTATTCTGGCACCTTAGCCTGAAGCTCTAGGCCCCTAAAGCCCTCACCCCGCAAAACCCTTCAAACCCTAAAGCCTGCAAAAACCTAAAACGCCCCGCCCCCAACCAAAAAACCTTAAACCCTACTAAATTTAGGGGATTCTGTCGCCTCCCTTGGAACCCAAGGGTTCATGTCGACTCCTCGTGGGCGTTGTATGGTGCCCTATATGGTAGTTTCCTGAAATTAGGGGCACCTTGATGGGGGTCCCCATAAGAAGGATTACAGTATTTGGGGGTCTATATTGGGGTCCTCCTATTTAGGGAAATTACCAGATTTCAGAATATGGAATTCATGGACAGCGTCACGGCTCGTAACTGTAACTAGAGTCATGCCCCACTTGTATTCCACCAATAACCGGCTTCAAATAAGTTACATCAGTTCTAGGGGAAGTAAAAGCCAGCCAAACACAAAAACCCTAAACCCTAAACCCCTAAACCCTAAACCTCTAAACCCTAAACCCTAAAGCCCTAAACCCTAAACCCCAAACCCTAAACCTCAAACTCGCCTCTATTTCCTAAAGCTCACACTCCAAAATCTGAACTACAAACCCAAGAACCTTAAAGCCTAAAACTACAAAGGGTATAGGAGTTTCTGAAAACCCCTGCATAACCCCTCCCCTAATTAAACACTCACAACCTCGAACCCTAAGTCACCCGGACGCCTTCTTAAGGCGCTTCTCAAGCTCCGAGCGTTCTGCCTGCATATGCTCCAGCTCCTTGCACCAGGCTCGAGCTTAGGGTTTAGTGGTTTAGGGTTTGGGGCTGCGAGGCCGAGTGCTTAATATTTGGGCCTAAATAATTACCAATATCATCTTGAGGTCCATTTGAGGTACCATCTACTATAATTATACAAGGAATAGGGAACCATAATGTTGGTAACTATTTAGGCCACTAAACCCTATTATGATATAGCTTTTTCCATTTTCTTTTCCATTATCCCGATATAACCTCTATATAACCCTATATACTATGAGTAATTATTTAGGCCCTATTAGGGTTTAGGGCTAGGGGTCTACGAGATGCCAGAACCCAATCTGATCTAAATCCTCTACAACTTGTGAAACCCACTGCTAAGGTTTAGGGTTTAGGGCTTACGGTCCACTTTTAATCCCAACCCCGTCTCAATTTCTCTACACTACTAGGTCCCCTGTCGACCTCACAAAATTAAAGCCCTAGGACTGCTAATCGAATCGAACTCTTTTATAGGGAAGCCTGTATACTTACCAATATGACTCCGTAAGCCTACAACCCTTACATAAGTATGGTATAACGTACACCCAAAACTCGCTTCTAATCATTCAGGCAAAATACACCCTAAACTCTCCCCAACATCCCAGATTCCTTGTCATTCTCCACTCTTCGATTCGAGTCTCCGCTATTCTAGTACACACTAGACCCCTATATTCAGATCCCTTGAAAAAGACCAATTTTACGTCCCCGCAATTGCATCATGCAAAATCCTGCTGCCCGGCTCCTCGCGAAGCTTTTGGTTCGCTTGCACGCTGCTGTTCCTCACCAGCTCCTTCCGCTGTCTCTCCTAGGTTTAGTTGGAAGGTCAGGGCTTAACAAAGGTTATATGTGGCTTCTCGGGGTCATAAGTATACTTGGACGCCCCACCCAGTAATAGTGACCATCAGGGATAGTGGAGGCTATATTCGGTCCTCTTGCATTCTTACTCTTCCAAGATGACTATACTTACCAAGCCGCATTGACCCCCAATTCGGTTTTTTGGTATAGGGGTTTTAGTGTTCTACCACCTAAAGCACCCTACACTCCTGGATGCTCTTCTCTGGATCCCAAGACAATCCTCGTGGATACCTAATGTCAGGTTTCGCTTTGAGATTTTGGGTGTCGCGAATAATGGTTCGCAGATTAAGGGCTATATACCATCCTTGCATCCGCAACAGGTGGTAGTTTCTAAATATGAGAGGACCCACCACAGAAGAAGCGTCGGAACAGGGCAACCCCTGAAAAGTCGGAAGCTCGAAGTCCTCAACAATAAAACCCCCAGCACACTCCCCCCCTAAGCCATATCTATTGCTGAAGTCCGTTCCCCCGCAACCCAACACCTAAACAAACAAGCCAAAGAAAAATGAACCCCAAACCTAATCCCTGCAGGTAGCGCTGCTGAACGCAAATTTGAAACTCCTACGCCAGCCAAACCCCAAACTCCAAACCGAAATCACTCAAGCTTCAACCCCTGAGTAAACCCCCGGCGCCCTCAAACTCCCATCCTCCAAGCTTGCCCTCTAAACCCCTCTAAGTCGAAACCCTAAACCCTAAACCGCAGCCGAGCTTCCACCTCGGCGGCATGCCGCCGAACATGGGCGACGCGCTCTGCGTGGCCCTGCTGCCATCGGCGAAATGGTTTATAGGTGTATATAAGGGTATTTCATATGTGTATATATGGAGATAAACATACATGTATACCCCCACCTTTAAGAGAGGACTGGGTAATTGGGGGGGGTCCCCCCAAATGTGCCTTGAATAACTCCCTCACAGACATACGCGCAAGGGGTATTGGACCACCACACGTCAAATGGCACAGCAATGAAACCCTCGAAACGTCATGTGGCGGAGGTGATCCCTTGCCCTCCCCCACACTCACAGAAATAGACGTGGGAGAGCTCAAAAACAGGCGGGCCGGAGAGTCACTCCCCGCAACAACGCCGCATGATTGGGGGATATACATACATGCATAAATACATACATACATACATACATACAGGTTTATACATATGTACATTAGCAAACAAGAAGATTTCTACTTTGGAATATGTCAGATATGGGAGTTTAGGGCGGATGTGGTTTAAGGCGCAGGGGTTAAAGTCTAGGGTTTAATCTTCGGAGCTTGGCATTTGGAACTAGTGTTTACGGTCTAGGGTTTCGCTATCAAGTTTTTGCTAGCGCATGGTTTACAGTCCCACGCTTTGCCACATGTACAGTTTCATGTTCCAAGAGCATACGGTCAGCAGAGCATCAATGCCCAAACCATAATAACGTTCGTGTTCCAAGACAGCATACGGGTGACCGAAGCATCCGTTCGTGTTCCAAGAGCATACGGTCAGCGGAGCATCAATGCCCAAACCATAACAACGTTCGTGTTCCAAGATAGCATACGGTGACCGAAGCATCCATGCCCAAACCATAATAACGTTCGTGTTCCAAGCGCATGCGATAATCAGAGCATCGGCTCCGTATGGTCCCGGCATCCTACTAAGGGCCCTTTCGCTTCACAAATTTCCCATATGGGAATGTCTCAGCATGAGCTTTAGATGAGGCAGGTTCTTGTTATGAATTCATGGTGGAAGTTTGCTAACGTGATGCTGAAAATATGGTAGGGTGGTTACAGATTATATCGCAGGTGTATACGGTTTCCTTAGGTGTATTTGTGATGGTATGCACATAGGCACACGCGCACACACACAAGTTTGCGGGTCCACTTAGGGAAGCCTTACATACAAATCCTACCTTGTACCCCCTCACGCAGGACCCTGGCCATACGCAATGTCTATCCCCAGGGCCCCTATAACCCCCCTAAATAGTATCATAGGGGTTACACGAATTATAAGTAGGGCTATAACCCCAGTTTTAGGTAGTTACTAAGTCCCATGAACCTCCCAAGTAGAGGACTCCTGGTTTTGTGAAGCCACAATAAGGCAGCCAGCGGAAGCCCCGCTTCGCATGGGGCGGATGTGAAGTTCAGCCTTGATTCTGTTTGTGTTTGCTGCCCAGTGCGTAATTAGAGGAGACGGATAGCTAGGGACTAATTAGGCCCATCTTCATACATACCTTCATCATCGTACTTTCATTCCCTCCCCCTTCCCCTTGAGCTGCGGTAAGTTTAGTTGAAGGATCGTTCCCATTAGTCCAAGCTGCGCCCCATCAGTCCAAGGTGGTGAGGAGTTCTGAACTTAATTTTAATCGTGCCAATAGTCCAAGGTTCGTTCCCATTCGTCCACGGATCGTTCCCATGAGTCCAAGCTGCGCCCCATCAAACCAAGCTGGTGAGGAGTTCTGAACTTAATTATAATCCTCCCATTAGTCCAAGGTTTGTTCCTATTAGTCCAAGGATCGTTCCCATTAGTCCAAGCTGCGCCCCATCAGTCCAAGCTGGTGAGGAGTTCAGGCTTTGCACACTGGCCAGGTTCGCAACAAAGCGTTGTGGCCAGTGGCGCTGGCAAAACACAGGCAAGGACCTGTTCGAAGCTACCGGCTTGCGCTTTAAGAGCCGCAGCAACTGACAACAAAAAAAGAGAGGCTATCCTTAAGGGCCAAAATTACATAAAATTCGGGATCCGCCGAAAACGACCATTTTGTACCCAGTGGATTCAGTGCCTTCTGGACCTTTTTCTGAACAAATTATTTTTGCATCCGAAATAGCGCGAAAACCTACTTTTAGCAACATTCTTTTAAAAATGACGCACGCCTGTTTAAGCCCCTCGAAGTCCTTAACACTTGCCCGAAACTGTGGCAAGAGCAACATTCTCACACCAAACGCTGGACAGAATACCATGCGGCGGGAAGTTTGCGCGTTGAAGGTTCTGGGGTGTTGGGTTAAGGTTCAGAAGTAGCCTGACGAATGTCTTCTTGTGAGTGTAGGGGTTGGGCCACGAAGATACAGGGAGTATACGAAGTGAAGGGCTTTGGGATTGATGGGGGCGCAATGTTTGACAAACCCACGCACTTGCTTCTGGCAAGTGCTACCGGAGGCTTGTGGCGGACTGCTGGCTTAATTCTCAGAGCTGAGAATGGGGCATGGGTTCTTACCGTAACCTTGCATAGCAAGATAAACCCATTGCCGCATTCCGGACAAATGGTGCCTAAACCCACGACACATAGAGCTCTTGCGGGTACATTTTTTCGCAGTGAGCTTTGGGAGACATACTTGCAAATAAGTTTGGTAAGCGGCTTGGAATGCATTTAACATCCAAGAGTGAGGAGGTTCACAGCTGGACAGAAGTCCGCGAAACAAAGCTCAGCGGAGTCGGGGTGGCAAGACGTCAGCTAACCCCCAACCCTTGGCTGTTTGCGCTCAGCCCCCCCAGACTCTTGAACCCAAAACCCCGCCGTAAGCCCTGCGGGCCGGCCCTACACCCAGCACCCCAAGCACCTAGCCATCAGAGCCTTGCGCGCACCCCTCAGCCCCTGAGCCAAACATCCCCGCTATAAGCCCTCGAAGCCTGACCCTGAGCAAAACCCTAAGCCCCAAGCCCGAGCCACTTTAAGACCCCAAGCCCGCAGTCGGCCTCGCAGCGACGCTCCGCAGCTGAAAGAGACTTGGCGTGGCTCTGGGCCTCAAGCTTCCACGCGCCTGCACGCCTGGGAAGGAACCAGCGGTGTAAGGTTTGAGCTTTATGTAGGTTAGGTTTTAGGGCTTAGGGCTTTGCAAGTTGATGTTTTTAGACAAGGAGAGCCCCCCCCAAATATTGAATTTTTAAGGTGTGTTGCACGCTGTGCGTGTGGAATGCTATGCAGAAATGGCTGCAGCGGGCTGCACCCGCCCAATAAGGATGTTGTAAGATTTGCGAGACTTCTTTTGTGCAACAAAAGCGAATGTGCACCCCGTCTGAACTTCAGCGCTCGGCTGCAGCGGCATTGTCGGCACCATTCTGGCGAAGCAGATGCCAGATTTTTTGGGAGACGCTCAACGGCCTCATCAAGATGCGATAGCGCGGCATGGCCACGTCAACATCGACCAGCTCTACATGTCCTTGTAAATTCTGGTAAGCGCCGAATTTCCGTTTTTGACATTCTGGTGTGCCACGGGAAGATCATGGGTGTATTGCAGAAGGGACCTGCGCATAGGTGCGACTTCTGCAGCCGCGCCCATGCGTCAGCTGACCACCCTGAGCAGCTGCCTGCAACGACTCGTCGGCAAGCAGCTCCATGGCAAAACCCTCTCCCATGCCTCCGCCCAGTACTGTGCAGATGCGCTGCACAACATTCGTATGCCAAAATCTATGCAGAAGCAACGCTTCTGCGTATAGCGCCTGCCCATCAGCCTGCTCGTCAGGAGCCCTTTCTGTTTTCGAAATAATTTGCCGCCACCTACCAGCTGAAATAACGAGCCCGGTTGGCCAAGTCACGATGCTCGATATCAGCTTCACAGCAGCGTGGCAACACAGCTCACACTCTACGCGGGTGTTGGTGGAAAACAGTGGCGAGGGCTGTACGCCCCAGGGCCGGGCACAGTGTGATGCGAATCACAGGCAACAAATCGCACTGCCTGTGAAAATTCTGAGAACCTGCTCTTCTACTGTACGCAACAAATGGATGGAATTGCCCATGCTGGCAGAGTGGAGCTGCAATTCATAGGTCCAGGAGTTGTTTGAGGGTTGTGGCTTGGGGTGTGGGAGCTGATTACCTCTTAGCCGAAGAATGGTTTAGGGTTCATGGCCTATAGGTTTTGAGGTTGAATGTCTAAGGTTCCTTAAAGGATTGTAGAAGCCATGGTACCGCGGCCTCTGACAGAGGAATGTTGCGGAATGAGGTTGTATAAGAGCGCAATCAGCACAAACTTTATGAGAGTTTGGAGCTTGGGTTTTGGGCTTAGGGTCTTGGGTTGAGACTGTTGGGTTATGGCGCACCACAACATGACGGTAACTAATCTAGTGGCTGTTCAAGGATATTCAACGGAATCAACTCTTTTGCTCCAACCGCATCTCATAATACCAGGCGGTCAGAAGTACAGTCATGTCTCTCTGAGACCCTTGCTTAGAAGTTGCCTGTTACAGTGTATAGCCCTACATCCTGAAAGAAAGCTCTGCCTCCGCCTCCCAGTCCTCCAACCCCAACGAGAGATGTTCCTTGATCGAAGGCTTCCCAGCTCTTCCCGTCGCAGCCCTGAGGCAGTTTACTCCTTAATATGGACCCCTGATTAAGAACCCTTCCTTTGAAGGGCCTGAATACTAAGATCTCTAGCATTTTTTTAAATACGGGGAGGGGCTTATTCTTCTTAATGACAGGGCTACGTTACCTCTGATCCACCCATTCCCAAAACTCGCCCTAGTCCCTGAACCCCAACCCCTAACCCCGAAACCCGCATCCCTAACCCGCAACCCCCGCTCCCTGAAACCCAAGCCCAACCATTGAAAGTCTCAAACCCTAAACTTCAACCCTATACCCTCAACCCTAAAATCTATACTCGAAAGCCTATACCCTAAACCCTATAGCCTATACCCTAAAACCTATACCTTAACCCCTATACTCCGAACCCTATATACCCTAAACCCGTAGGATCTTGGGCGCTTTGGGTTCAGCCCCAGCAACTCTACAGCTTCTGTTTGCTCCGACATCTCGGACCTGACCTGGCCGCTGGCTCTAATCAGGTTTAGGGAAGATGGGGAGATGGGGTTGGGTGTAGGGTAGATTCTGTAGACCTCGGTACTCTTTGAAGGAGCTATTATACAAGGAGGTGTAGAGATACACAGGACTCAGAGTGCTAAGACGTCTGGGATTTAGGGTTTAGGCGACCTGCAAACAGGACAGACCCCTGAATGGGACGCGCCGTCTAAGGACTCTCAGAAGGGAGTTATAGCAGAGAATCCAGGAGATTCTAAGAGGATCTGTCCTGCATGGGGGCCCCTGAGGGTATACCTGATACGGTGAGTCTCGAGGCTCTCGTACCAAAGCATGCAACAAATCTGCACTTTAGAGGCCCCCCATCACCAGCACATCCCATGTTGATAAACTTCTTGCACCATGAAACCCTACACACCACCCCGCAACCCTAGACCCCCAAAAACCCTAAACCCCTTACTCCTGAATTCTAAACGCCTCTGAACCCCAGGCCCCTAAACCCTCAAACCCCCAAGCCCAAGCCTCTGAACCTTCAGCCTAGAACTTAAATTCCTTCAACCCGCTGTTCGCAAGCTCTACACACCCTAATCCCCCAAGAAATCCGATGCCCTAAAACCTCAGAGCTTTTAACCCCTACACCCTATTAGGGGTTATATTGGGATAATAGAAAATAAAATGGAAACTACTAGAATATAATGGGAACTATTATAACAAAAAGGGAAATTAGTATAATGGAAACTAATATAATATAATGGAAACTACTATAATATAATAGGGTGTAGATCTTAAGCCCCCCCAAGCCGTGCGGCTCCAGGTCCGATCCCTCTGCGCCTGGCGCAGCCGGGCCTCCGCAGACGCCGCTCGCTCCTCTTCGGCCTGCGCATGGATCACAGGTTCATTGTTGGGATGTAGTAGTTTCCCAAAATAATGGGACCCCAGTATAGACCCCAAAAATACTAGAGTCCTTATTATAGGGTTTGGGCACCCCTGATTTTGGGAAACTCCCATGTCGCTTAGAACTTTTATAAACTCATGCTCCGACGAAATACGATCAAAAGAAATACAGCTTCATGTTCCTCATCGTTTGATAAGATATACAGCAACTTAAGCCAACAATGGCCCAGATTGCTGCAGGGGACTGGTACAAGCTGGTGATATCCATCTGTTGGTTCCCCGTATATACTTCAAGAACAACCCCAAAAAACTGCACAAAAAAAAACTTTTATCCTCACACAAAACAAAGCCCGGCTTCACTCAGACCACGAACCCTAGACCACAAACCTGTTCAATGATAAGATCGCACACTACCCAGACGCTAACACCTCCGCCCAAAACAAGATCTAGATTAGCCCTTAAAAAAACCTGTTTTGGGGTAGAAGGGGGAATCTCAGGGTGGGGGTGACGATGAGGGCCTGGAGAATCGGGCTCGAAGTGTTACACGACGGTACTTGGTGATGGTTCAAGCTTTTATACTAGTATGGTTCTAGTGGAGGCAGGTCTAAGCCTGCACCCCCCAACCCTAAACCCAAAACAGTTACCTTTTCCCGCCTTCAGCCTTTGCTGGGCATCCTGCAATTTGGCCAATGCCTTCGGCCAGAAGGTGCGAGCTTTCGGGCTTAGGCTCAAGGTTATATAGGGTTTAGGTTTAGGGTTGAGAGAATGATCAAGTTTGCGGGCTTAAGCTTCAGGCATCTCGAGATCTAAATAGAGAAGCTCATGCGTGTCCAAGGGGTCTGTGCTCAGGAGTTTGGGTGCTCAGTGCTCGGAGCTGAGGACGTACGGTACGATGCAACAATTGAGCGTGATGTATCAGAGACCTAGTACAGCTGACTTTAAATATCGCTGGGATCGTTTTGCAGGTTTTGCGGGGCTTAGGACTCGTGACGCGCGCCAGGACTTGAATGCTGTACTGTAGTGAAGGTGGCCCCGACGGGCAAACCTTTCGGCCAGCTCAAACAATACAGCTTGACTATGAATGTTTGCGGTGCCTGGAGCCCTCGCTTGCCCTTCTGGTGGACTCCAGACTCCCTCTGTGTCATCCCCACATATACGCCTATTTTGAAACTTATGTTCACCCAACCCTCCCACTCTCCCTTAGCCTGCGGCGTCCAGTCTCCTTTGTCAAGTTCATCGGCAGCTGAAAAGCATAAAGGGTAGTTTTTCAGAAGAGGGGGGGGGGACCCCACTATGGACCCCAAATATCATAATCATTATTATGGGCATCCCCAAAAAGTACCCCGAACTTTGGGAAAGCCTAAGCCGTTGAACAACCGTAGACCCTAAACAGTATTATCCCCTATGTATCCTCTATATATCCCCTAAAAAGCACCCCGAACTTTAGGGGAACTAAAGGGATCTGAAATCTTCAGCTGAATAAGACGAGCCCGGGTAGCCACGGCTCACCTTCGCAAGACGACACAAATACTCACTGGGGGTTAGTAGCGAGTAAGAGAATATATCATAGGTTTAGGGTTTAGGGTTAATGGGAAACAAGGCAATTTTTGTGATAAGGGATCATATAGGGATTTTATTCCCTTATTCCATACAAGGTAAGCCGCAGTAAGAATAAGCACGGGGTAGCAGTAGCAACAATAATGACGATAATCAGTAGCCACATAAGCGTACTACAACTACGGTAGTTGCGGTCAATAAGCCTCTAAATACCTACCAATAATCTGGCTCAAGATCCCTGCGTAGTTGTCATCTGGGGTATCTCAACGAAAGGTGACTCTCTCAACGGACAACTCGCCCCGGACGTCAATTCCATGAGCTTGCACAGTCTCTACGATGAAACGTAGATCTTCCCCTGAGCCACCAACTTGCCATCATGCGCCCGCATGAACTCTGCTCCATGGACGTCGATGCCCTTGAGCTCTGTGCCGCGGAAGCTCGCCAAGATACTGTTGGGTGGCAAGAGCTCTCTCGCAGTCAGACCAGCCCTTCTCAGCAGTCCAGTAAAGCTCGGACGCACTCTCCATGTAGAGATTCATCATGCGACGGATGCGTCGACCATAGGCCCCAAGGCTCCAAAGAAAAATGGGTGGGACTTGTTGCACATGCTACCTGAGCAAGCCTGAAAATGGCATTGGTAATTGTTCAGGATCATCCCTCTAAACCCCTGGAAAAGCCCAGTTTCCATTTCATGTTCCTTTGTCTTTTCCATTTGATTTTCCAACATTACGGCTAACATCCCTAAACCGTAAACGCTACATGATTCCAAAAATCACAAAAATCCTTCAAGGGACCCCATATAACTTCCCATCTGCCTCATCCCGTGTCTGGTCGCGCTCCACCTCCAATTCTTTGAGTCGGCGTTGCGCTTCCTCCTGGCGCAGCAGGTGGTTTTGTACTTTGCGCAAACTAACATGAAACCTTCCAAAGGCGCCTAAACACTAAACCCTAAAGAGTAGCTTTCATTTTCTTTTCCATTAGCCCAATATAACCCCAATATGACCCTATACCCCCTAAACCCTAAACCCTAAACTTTTCGGGTTTGGGGTTCAGGGTTTAGGGAGTCTTTGGGGATGTTCAAGGTGCAGGGCCTGGGTTTAGGGTTCAGGTGCACGGTGTAATGCCCCAACCGAATCTGGAACAACAAGAAGGACCGAGAGGGACCGCAGGGGCAGTATACCCAAGCTATGAGGTGTTTGCATTTGTGACCCAAGCGAATGGGGTTAGGGTTTATATAATTCCTGGCCTTTATTTGGATGTAGCTGCACTTGTGAATAAACTTGGAACCCTTCTCAGAAATTGGAAGCCCTTAAAAAACCTTAAACCCTCAAGCCACGTAAAAACCTTACCCCAAAACATCATCCCCCATCCTCGAAGTCCCCAAAAAAGCACCTCCCCATCCTAAACCTAAACCCTAAATCCTGCTGTATCCCCAACAAGCCATGCATCCCCCTGAAAGCAAGGGGCCTAGGTACTATAAACTATAACCTGAATATATACCCTATTAGAAAAGAGCAGTTTCCATTTTCTTTTCCCATTATCCCTATATAATCCCTGTATAACCCCATAGAATCCCTATACTTCTCCATAGAATCTCTATATAACCCCATGGAATTTCTGTACAACCCCATAGAACCCCTATATAACCCCAAAGAATCAGTACATAACCCCTTGTAATCTCTATACAACCCCATAGAATCCCTATACAACCCCATAGAATCCCCATACAACCCCATAGAATCTCTATATAGCATCCCTGTATAACCCCATAGAATCTCTATATGAGCTATAGTCTAAACTCCTAGTATCCCAATATAAGCCCTATCACAGTCCCCTGTATAATCCCCTGTATAACTCCCCCTTTAAGGAGGTTTAGACTATAGCTCATACAACCCCTTATGGTCTAAACTCCTAGTATCCCCCAATATAAGCCCTTCTACATAACCCCATAGAATCTCTATGTAACCCCTTATAGTCTCAATATCAGCGGTCCTCCGCCTCGCGTAGCCGTTCGCGCCAAGCCGCTCGCTCGCGCTCGAGGGCTTCCTGGTGGGAGCTCCGGAGCCTGAGTTTAGGGTTTAGGGTTTAGGGTTTTTGGGATTTTGGGTTTTGGGGTTTAGGGTTTAGTGTTTAGGGTCTAGGGGATAGGGTTTAGGGGTTAGGGGATAGGGTTTAAAGGATAGGCATTAGGGTTTAGGGGATAGGGCTTAAAGGATAGGGATTCGGGTTTATTAGGGTTTAGGATTTCGGCTTAAGTTGAAGGTTTACCTTACTATTCCTACCCAGAAACAGTCTATAACAGGGATATTTTTAAGGGCTGTATGTAGTATGAATATTATCCAACTGTTCCTGGGTGGGGGCAGGTTCTTAGCAGGGAGTAAGGGAATATAATCCCTGTAGTATATAGGGCTTATATGCCCCTCACTCCCTGCTAAGAAACAGCAAGTTACCGTAGGAGATACATAGGCATATAACATCATTTGAGGCGTAGGGCTTAGAATTTGGGATACATGGGGATATGATGGGATTTAAGGCTTGGGGCTTAGGATTTGGGATGCATAGGGATATACTAGCATTCAAGGCTGAGGGTTTAGGATTTGGGGCCCTGTTGGGGATATGGGGGGTTATATGGTAGATTGTCAAAAGCATGGTGCCTTTTCGGCAGCTACTAGAGCATAGCCCGTAATATTGACGGTACCCCGAAAAAGGGATCGCAACTTTGACCATCTGCCATATACAAGATACATCGGGCGCAGTAGGATGTTAGGCTCAGGGTTCTAGGAATTAGGGCCTAAACTTGGATTCTGGGGTCTTACCGTAAGGGATATACGTGCTGCAGAAGAATATGCGTGGATCCAGGGCAGGGAAAGGCTTAGGGCGTACGTCCTAGGCAGCCATACTGCGAAGCACGAGTGTCACACATAACAGGAATGATGAGAGTACGGGATATTATCTGGCTATAACGGGGGCGGATCCCTACCTAATTAACATGAGCATGAGCTCTAAAGGAACCCTAAACCTAGATACTAAGCCCTTGAACCCTTAAAACACAAATCCCAAAGTCCCAAAACCTTGAACCCTTAAACCTTACACCCTTAAGCCCTTACTCCCTTGAATCCCTAAACCGTAAACCCCGAAATGCCAAAACCTTAACAGTTTATTGGGATGGGGCGTAGCATGCCCCGAGGTTTTGGATGCTGGCTCGGAGCCTACCCATATGCCTGGCCTGGTTTAGGGTTTTAGGGTTCTAGGGTTTTAGGGTTTTAGGGCTTAAGGTTTTAGGGTTTCAGGGTTTAGGGTTCAGGGTGCGAAGTTTAGGAGTTTAGGGATTGGGGTTTTCCAATCATGAAGCATCACATGGACAACAAAAAAGAAATGAAATGGAAGCTGGTTTTATGTAAGTAATAACCCCACTAATTATACATTGGGGGTATTGATGCTGAAGGAACGCGACCATAAGAGCAGGTATCCCAATCAAAAAGAAGCAGTAGTACTGCACAGATTTTCAGGTTTGAAGCTTGGGCTTTTGGGGTTTAGCATAATGGTTTAGGGTTAGGTATTTTCTGCTGTGCCTCGTTCCACCTCGATGATTCCGGGCTTTTCCCAACACGATTTAGGTTTCAGGGTTCAGGTCTGAGGTTTAGCGCTGATGTCCGGGTTCTGTATGGGCATAGGTATATCAAAACGTATACCGTTGGTGTATGGGGGAACTCCCAATTCTAGGTACCACTTTGGGGGGTTCCCATAATAAGGTCTATACTACTTGGGGGTCGATAATAGTGGGGTCCCCCTATTTTGCGAAAACTACCGTATATTAAACAAGCCTAGTACACGGCATAAGGGTTGAGACTCTACAGTGTGGAGTTCGCTTATGAGGGCTGAGGAAGCCCATAAACCCTAAACCCTAAACATCCCTAACCAACCCTAGACCCTAAACCCTAAACCCATATAACGTCCCAGAGGCTGCTCGAGCTCCTCCTCCAACTCTTTGCAGCGGCTGCGATGCGACGGAGGCGGCGGCAGCGCCTCCTCTTGGCTTTCCAAGGGGCTAAATACGAGTAAGGGAGCCTTTGCACCCGTTTTCAGGGGTGACATACGAGTAGGGGTTACAAAGGGGTTTTATACCAAGGTTATATAGGGTGTATATGAAGGCTATCTAGGGGTAGCTATCTAGGGTTTATTTGTGGACCGCTTTGGCATATTAGTTTCAGGGGGTTTTTGCTGGCTGCAACAAGTAAAAGAATACCTTCTTTCAAACAACTATACCCAAACTCACAATTGATTTTATTAATTTCATTTTACAGTAAAGACTACGTTGTCCCGGTTAAAAGTACTACTTATACGGGAAATTCCACGAGACGGGGAGAGGTAGATGGGTGATACAGGCGAGTTTCGTGCTACAGTTCATGAATATCCACGACAACACACACACACAAGTCAACATACGATGGTCTATTCTTGAACCGTGTAACTGAACCACTTTTACGAATTCTTGCTGACCGCCTGGAATTCCACCAAGGGTGGTACTCCATGCTGTAGAAAAGGTCGGTGATGGGCATCACAGACCCGCTGGAACCCACTCGATCCGTCACGTCTGATGGGGACTCCGAAGGAGGGGTCAGCTCTGGTGGAAACATCCCCAGAATGGGGAGTAGGCCGTTGGCATCAGGTTTCACCCTGTACATCAACAGGTACCTAGTGCCATCATAATGCAAGTCGACTCCATCCGACTCTGATCCTGACCCCTCAAGCAGGAGGTCTCCTATCACGCCACTGGCTCTGCCACCGGATGAAGCGTCGTGTCACTCCGTGATCATGCCCTTCAGGGCCTTAGCTTTGCGCTCCTTCTCTGCAGCCTTCCGCGCCTTCTTAATGGCTGTCGCCTTATTGTGCATCACCGTTGACTCGCGCCTGGTGGCGACCTCTGGCATCTTTACCTACTAAGAGCACTGCAGGGCTTATCTGCACTTGTGCATATTTATCTATTTGTCTATCAAAATATGTCTTCATTTCTGTTTATCTATTTATGCATATACAGATATGTGTGCCGCTAAGCTCCTGGAAATACAAATCAGGTATCAAGAACAAACACGACAAACCCCAAGTGTGCTGCTAAGACCTGAGCCCAAGCCCTGAGCCCTTGAACCCTAAGGCTCTCAACCAAAGTCGAAGCGCTTCATCCCCAACAAGTGAACCCTGAAAGCCAAGCCCATAGCTTGCAGCCCTAAACCTTGAGGTCTAAGCCCTGAAAATTTAAACAAGAACAAGGAAAACTAACGATAATAATCAATAATCTTATGAAGCCTTTTCTATCCATGTACAACACCCTATATCCCTATTCAACTGGACTCACTTAACAGAAGCCCGGAAGCCCTAAATCCTAAACCCAATCCCTATATCACACCCAGTAGCTTCTATTTCGTTTTCCAGAATCCCTATATAACCCCCATGCAGTAGTTGCCATTTTCTTTTCCACGATACCTTATATAACCCCTATATAACTCTTAAATAGTGGCTTCCGTTTTCTTTCCCGTAACCCCAATATAACCCCAATATCAATATTACCCTAAATCCATTATCCCTGTATAACCCCCATATATACGTCATAACTACTAGCCTAGCAGAAGCCCCAAAATCCCTGAGATCTTTCCCCCGGCCCCTAAACCCTATAAACCCTAAGCCCTAAACCCTAAGCCCTAAACCCTATGAACCCTAAACCCGAAGTCCTAAACCCTGCCCGGCCTGAGCCGGCGCGGCTTCTTTGGCCGCGGATCCGGCGGGGCGCGAGACCATCAGCTCCGGGGGAAGCTTTGGACCTCGTGCTTCTGCATTTGGGTTGTAGGGGTTATAGGGGTTTTATAGGGTTTAGGGTTTAGGGGTTATATTGGGGTTATATAGGGGTTATATTGGGGTTATATAGGAGTTATATTGCGGTGATATAGGAGTTATATATTGGGGTTATTTTGGGGTCATATTACATTGTAAAGGCTTATATCTTAAACTTTAGGGCTTAGAGTTTGTGGCTGTAGGGTTTTTGGACCTTGCGCTTCTTAGGTTTTCGGGTTAAGGTTTGCGGCTATGGGTTTGTTTGGGTTTAGGGCTTATGTTGGTGTTTGGTTAGGTTTGGGAATTTCGGTGTTGCGTGGTTTAGGGCAGGCTCCAGGGCTCAGGCGTGGAGAGGGTATATCCCTGTTTGACTACACTCCCCAAACCAACATGGAAACCCATATAATCCCCTTTTAGAGGGGCTGTAGCGATAGTGTTTAGGGCCCGTTCTGGGTTTCCATGTTAGTTCCTGGGAGTGTAGGACCCCACGATTAAGGTCCCGCTTGGGATGACCAGACTTTCGACCTTTACACGGCCTAAAAAGCGGCGTTGTCCCAAACCCACAGACCTGAATCTTCAAAGCGCGTGGACCACACGGGGGAACTATAAAGAGGAGAATCCTGGAAATAATATTTGGGGAGGGGACGGTTATAACATAGCGTGAGGAAAGAATTTATGTTTTGAGGGCTTCATTCTTTTATTATAGTACGCTATAGTATGTTGTATAGTATATATCATAGTGTATATATATATATTATAACATAAACAATATCTGGTTCAAGTTTTGGGGGCTGAAGGTCCTGGGCTGGCTGTCCCTTCCACAAGAATGGAGCCCTTCAAAAGCCCTCATCCCTTTTGAGGTATCCGAAGTACATGAGTGCTCAGGTGCCGTACTGTACGAGGAAAAAGAGATCACAATTTCGACAAGCTACGATATGGACTCCCTCAGAAAGATTGTAGCCTTTCTAGGGCCCCTTTGGGATTTCCATGTGGAAGGTGTAAGGAGTTGGGAGGGCAGGACCTGCAAAAGTCCATTTTCAACGATCGAGGCCCAAAAAACCAATGACATCAAACGCAGTTAAAGTGGCATCCCGGGGTGCACCAATCTTGCGCAAATTCCTGGAAGCACCTCCAAACAAACCTCGAACGCCAAGATTGGCCCTACCAAAGACTACAAACTTTTAAAGTCGGTTGCTATATGGGTTTCCATGTTTTCTAGGGAGGGGAGGGGAGGGGAGGGGAGGGGGAATACTACAACTACAACCTCCACATAAAAGCCGAAGGGGAGCCGAGCAGCTTCGTGCTGGGGCCGTGATGCCGGTGCCTGCTCAGGAAGCTGTCAAGATCAAAAAAAAGTATGGAGATAAGCGTTCCCCGTAACGGTCGTAAAAGAAGGCAAAAGTTGAGAAAGACCCGCGTGAAGGGGAGAATGCTCAGGATGTTAAAGAATGAACATGATGTTTCAAGATCTTTTTGCCTGCTCCTGCGGATTTGGCAATTGTTGTCGGTGAAGCTGACGACCCATTGATGTGTTCTGGCTGCTTTTGTGCCAGTTGTGGCAGAGGCAGGGGCAGCGAGGGCGGGGGCTTGCTGGCGCAGTGCTTTCAAACACTGAATGTACCAGACGCATTCAAGCCCATTGGCTCGGGTTACATGGAAGGCAGAAACAATACCCTTGTAGTCCTACTCCTCGACAACAGAATAATGGTACTCAACCAACAACGGCCACATCATCAGCGACCCTAAGACAAGAGGAAACTGTTTGGAGGTAATGACACCACAAACCAAGATGGCTGAGACGTGTAGCCGCCAACCTAGCAAGAGCAAGCAGCAGGACAATACTCACCCTAAACCCTGAACCCCATGCACCACTGACACCAGGACATGTAGGCCATGAGTAGCGCACAGGTCCGTACCCCGAGCCTGCACAGAAATCCCGAAGCCTTCCTTCCTGAAAGACTACCCCCCTACCCGTTTGGGGTCAGCATGGCAGGTCCTGCTCATACATACACCAGATAGTCAGCATGATTCTTATGATCGCGGCTCAATGTAACAAACCCCCCCTATTTCTAGACCCTGGAAGGAACAAACCCCAAATCCCTAGGCCCTTAAATCCGTACACTCGAATTATAAACCCTCAGCCCTAGCTAAACTCTGCAAACTTCGAACCCCTAAACACTCATTTCCCCTTAACCCAGGACTGAGGTATTGAGTGTTCCCTAAACCCTAAACCCTTATCCCTATAGTCCCCCTTAAGTAGATAGAATATGGCTTTGGGTATGTTATACTAACATCCCCATATACCCCATATTCTATCTACTTAAAGGGGACTATAAGCCCTAAACCCTAAACCCTTGTCCCCCCATGCTCCCTGAATTCCTATAACCCAAGGCCGGCCGCCACCGCTGGCCCCGCTCAGGGCTTGGCCGGTACCAGAAGACCTGGTTTAGGGTTTGGGGCTTAG